CTTCATTTGCTTTTCTTTCGCCTTCACCGCGCGCAGCACCGAAGCCGCCGTAGCTCCTCCAGTTCCGACCGAGCATCGCCGTTGCCTTGCGCGCTCGCCACTACAAAAATACGTCGGCCATCTTGTTCCTAGCCTCGCCGTGATCTCCTCTACCACCTCCACCTTTTAGCCGGGGCGATTGAGGCTGGGTAAGGGCGTAATCGCCAGTTCTTCCACCGCCGCCATGGCGGGACCTCGCCGGAGTTGGCGCTCCTCGTGGCCAACTACCACCGCAACCTTTCCATCCCTTCTCTCCCTTGCGCTTGCTGCTGTGTGTGACGCTGAAGCTCGTAGAGTGGGCCATTAGGGCCGAGACGCCGTAACCTCGCCGGAGCCGGCCATGCCGTGGCCGTGCGCCGCCATGGTCGTCGCCATTGCCTTTAGCCGTAGCAATAGCTTCAATTGAGGGCACCACTGGATGCGCGCGGGTGAGGTGACCGCCGTAGCACCGCTGGACTCGCCGGAGCTGTCACCGGCGACGAGCTACGCCATCGTCTTCCTCCCTTCCCCTGCTTGTCTCTCTGTCGCGTGGGACTCGCGCGTCAGCCGTTGTTCTCAGGCGGGAGTCAGCGTGGGCCGCGTCGCGTTTGGGTCGCGCCAGCGCGTGTTTCGTGGGCCGCCGGGTCTGTTCGGGCCGGCCCAGCAGTAGAGATAGGGTTTCAAAAAAATTGTTTTGTTTTAATCTTTTCACAGATTTGTGTATAGATGCAAAAATGTGTATCTCCTAGTTGGTAGCTTCAAATGATGTGGTTCCAATTTTACCGAGTTCATGATAATGTCTAGTTTTTATTAAAAATATAATTTATGCTATGTTCTGTTATGAAAAATAGAGTTGCTAATTATCTCTTTTAATCATGAAAGAAATAGGGGTAATTATATCTTTTTCTGTGTAGCTTCAAATGGTATGAAATTTTTATGGTGTACTGCTCATATCATGAATAGCTTGTAGTTAAATTTTCATATATTTTGGACATTGTATGTAGGAGATAGAAAATTCTCTTGTTTGTATGGATGGGTCTTGTGTGAATTTTCATAATTTTTCTATAGATCTAGTAAGGGTAAAATTTGGTGAGTGCTATTCTTATACTAGAATGATGCTAGGAAAAAAGAGAAATCTGTTGCTTGACACTTTTTAATAGGGTTTCCCAATTATGCTAGAAATAGACTTGTCACCTGTTATTTTGGATACAGCAAGTTCTGCTTGCCCAATGGCTTTAAAATTTTTATGGTAGTCTATGTGAAGCATGAGATAGCTACTGTAATTTTTGTAGATTTTTCTAAATAGTTTTACTATATATTGCTTTAATCACCTAATTAACTAAATAAATTAGAAAAGGACATTAAATATTTTATTTAGAGGTTGGCACTATACTTTATGATATTCCTTTGGTATGTGAAACAAGTTGGTAAACTTGGTTTGGTCCAATTAGGCTTTTGCATCATCACTAAATATTTAATTTAGCGACCCTGTCATTTCTGGACAGATTCTAGGTTTACTGGAATTCGATTTGGTTAACGTAAGAATCATGCTTTGATGTTTACAAATGATTTGTAGAGAATTTCATAAGATTTCCATAATGTCCTCTTGCAAGTTATTTGAATTTATAGAACTCTGGTTATGATTAAATTAAGGAACTACCCGTGTGCATATGAAACTTTAACTGTTGTTTTAAGTATGCCTTTACTATTTCTATGTTTGTGGTAATGTTCCTAGGTGTTAGGCCTTTATCTGAAGATGATCATCTTTATCTTAGGTTATGCAAGTTAGGTAAGTTGATCTCGTTCTTCAAGTTAAGTTAGATACACGTTTTAAAGTGATTTGAATAGAGCTATTCTCAATCGGTAAACGAGTGTCCAGTGATGTTTTCGTTAAACACTTACTAAGATTCATTCATCATGAGCATCATGTCATTCCTTATGCATCCATGATGTTTATCTTGTGCATCGGCATGCAATAGGTGTACCAGAAGGAGTGACCCTGCTGGAATTCGAGGAACCGAGCGAGGAGCAGCAGCAGCCAACACCGGAGGTTCAGGAGGTGCAGCCTTTAAGAGAAGTACCAGACGAGATCGCCGTTGAGTGCCCGAATCATCGTCCGTGCAACTTTGTGAAAGGCAAGCCCCGGAGCATATTAAGCCTCCTAATTTCCGAAATGCAGTTAAAGTATTATTGTTACATATATATATTGTTGTATTAAGTTTAGGTGTTGGATGCAAACACTTGCTGCATTGGTTATCCAATCCTTATCCAGATATTGATACCCTGAATCTTATGTAGTTTAGGTTCGTGTAGTGCTTAGCCCTGCTTAAACACGGTAGAAGTTAGGTGATTTCCTGTCACCTGCGAGATATAGGAAGATACATATGGCACGGTTGGCTATATTTGCTATCGTGGAAAAGAACCAGTCTTAATTTGAAATGAAGACCGGACGGAAGCTTGCCGGTTTGTAGTGGCTCCGTCTGTGTCACTTAAGGACTGAATCTTGGAGCCTTTCCTGTTCATGTTGAACGCATGCCTCTCTCTTAGTTGGCCGGGTCTGGAGACCGACCACGAAGCCGAGTATCTCACCTCAGGCCAGGAGTCGATAAGTATAAAGTGTGTCTCGGAAGGGAGCCGTAGGCGTGAGTCCAAGGGCAGGTGATTTAAAAGTCCTGATCGTCCTGGCAGAAGGGTAATCCCTGAGAGTGCTGGCGCTGATCGAACCCGCGAATTTGGTTCCTGAGTTGTTCCAAAGGTGACCCACGGCTACCCTTGCAAAGTATGCCAGGGTGAGAGTTAGGAATACCCCCTCAGCTGAGTTGTAATTCGATTCGAGTCACCGTCTCTCCCGGTTAGTGAGAACTTGACGGGCTTATCTCCAAAGTAGATACACTAAATAACATAATGGTTCGGAAATAATGATATGATGATGAGAACCTTATTATACCTGCTATGGTTAATATTGATTGCTCCTAATAAGTGAGTGCTCTAGTACAGGTGCTAATCTAGTGGACAGGTAAATGATGATAAGCTTGATGCTAAGTTTAAATTGGCCACTATCTTCATAAGCTCTTTTATGCAAATGTGTCAAGCTAGCCCACCTCTTAAGCCTTGTATGATCCTTGGTGTCTTTTATTTCTGGTTTTGTCGGGTAAGTCTAGCTGAGTACCTTCTCGTACTCAGGGTTTATCTCCCACCTATTGCAGGTGACCAGTTCTACTTTAGTTGCTGCAAGTATTGCCTTCTCCCGGCTGGGGATGAAGACTAGACCGTTGGGCACGGTCTCTCCTAGTTCTCGTATCTGAAGATGCTTTTGTGGGACATGACTAAGATCTGGCAATGTATTTGAAACTATGAAGTTATGTACTAAACTATGTTGCTTCCGCAGATTTAAACTTGGTTTGTAATATTTTATTTTGAACTCTGATGGATGTAATCCGAATGCTACTTGTGAAATGGTGTAACGATTGATGTGTTGTGTTGAATCACTATGGTCTTGGTTTGTATGTCGAGAGTTGGTTGAAATCCTCCGTGATTTCTGGACTACCAGGATTATGGGAGCTTAAATATTGAAATTTGATCACTTCGGTGATTGTTTTTGTACTTACGTTCTTATGATTTGGTCGGTTCTGTTACATAGAGGCCAGTGCTTGCTTCAAGGTGTCGAAGCTCAGTTGCAATTCCAGGTTCCAGTGAAAAAGAACATGTTTCTTGAGGAGATCTGTCAGTGGTCGACTTATAGAGCCATAATTCTTAATAAACTTCCTGATAAGCCGAGAAAACTGTGCAGTTGCTTAGTGTCAGTAGGCGTGGGCCATGTGACAATGGCCTGTGTCTTGTTGGGATCGGTAGCCACCCCCTGAGCACTGATCACATGACGTAAATATTCCAGGGACTGTTGGGCAAACGAGCACTTGAATTTCTTCAAGAATAGCTGATGTTGTTCAAGAATTGTAAAGACTTGGGTGAGCTGCTGTAAGTGTTCTTCGAGGGTTTTGCTGTAGATCAAGATATCGTTAACAAAGACCAAGACGCCTCTTCTGAGGAGGGGTTCGAAAATTGTATTCATAAGTGCTTGAAATGTCGCCAGGGCGTTTGTGAGTCCGAAGGGCATAACCTTGAATTCCCAATGCCCATGATGAGTCTTGAAGGCTGTTTTGGGTTCATCTTCCAATTTGAGCCTTATCTGGTGATCCCGGACCTCATGTCCAGTTTGGTGAACCATGCGGCACCATGTAGTTCGTCGAGCAATTCGTCCACAACTGACAAAGGGTACTTGTTCTTAACTATTATGTGGTTAAGTTGTCGGTAGTCCACACAGAAGCGCCATGTCCCATCCTTTTTCTTGACAAGGATCACAGGGGAGGCGAATGGACTCTGACTGGGCCTGATTATGCCGTTGCTAAGCATCTCTTTTATCTGTCTCTCAATCTCGTCCTTCTAGGGGGGGGGGAAGAGCGATATGGTTTGACATTGACCGGTTTGACACCCGGAATGAGTGGAATATGATGGTCAAACGCTCACGTTGGCGGTAGAGAGTCAGGCTCCTTAAAGATTGTCGCCTTGCTGTCAATAAACTGCTAAACCGTGTCAGGAAGTGGCATGGCTTGGGGTTCCTCCAAAAGTGGGCAGAGATGCACCACTTGAGCTATGCCTCCTTTGCGAATGAGACCTTTTAACTTCCTGATCTTGCGCTTCGGACAAGAGGATAGGGAATCTTTGATGCCTTTGAGTGCAATACGCTGTCCTGCATGTGTGAATCGTAATAGCTTGCGCTTCCAATGGATCCACATAGGACTGTAACTCTCTAACCAGTCCATACCAAGCACTAGATCATAACATGTTATTGGCAGGACTTTGGCAGTTTGGGTGAAGGTGTGGCCCTGAGTCCACCATTGAAACCTTTCCACTTGCTGGTTACTGACGAGCTTCTGCCCATTTGCCACGATAACAGACACCTTCGGGGTTTCAGTGACTGAACACTACAGAGCTTTGACAGCTTTATCACTGATGAATGTGCAGGAGCTTCCCGAATCAATGAGAATAAGGATCTCTTGATTGCCCACCAAACCTGTTAATTTCAGGGTTTTCTTGCCTTGCACACCTTCAGCCGCCCAGTTTGATAACTGAAATACTTCATCTCCGTCTTCATCAGATGAGGTTTCCTGACTGTCATCACTGTCACTCTCAGTGTGCATAGCATCCAAGACCTCTTCGAGAACATGTAGAGAGACCTTATCAGGACATTTATGTTGCCGGCTCCACTTCTCTCCACATTTCATACACAGACCCTGTGCCCTGCGCTGACTACGTAGTGCCGCCAGCTTGTCATCCCCTTTGGGTTTAGGATCTTCATTGTTGTGTGGACCCAGAATACCGGGTTGAGTGTTGACAGTTTGCTTGCCCTGATACTTGTTGTAATTTCTCGAAGCCCTGTTGAAGAATGGCTTGGTCTGATTGTCCAATATGTTAGCCTGCATGAGAGCCAATGACAAAGCCGCATCAACCGTTCTTGGTTTATGTAACACTATTGCAGCACTGATATCAGGTTTGAGGCCTTGCAAAAATTTGCTAACAAAGAATACATCATCTAAGGACTTGTTGTGAACTAAGACCTTATGCATAGCACATTGAGACCTATCATAATACTCTTGCACATCAGCTGTTTGCTTAATCTGTAGATCATTCATGGCATTGTGATATAGATCTCTACCAAATTTAAGACTCAACAGCAATGCAAAGCTCTGCCCAACTAATGTCATCATCAGAGTGTTGTGCTTCGTACGTTTGTAGCCATAATTCAGCACTACCGTGAAAATGGATAGTGGCAAACTGCGACCACAAATGCATAGGAATATGATACATGTTAAAGTACTTTTCACACTTTTCTCTCCAGACCTTAGGATGGGAGCTATCAAATTTGGGGAAAACTGCCTTAGGTAACCTAACTTCTTTCTGATAATGATGAGGCATATGTGTATGATAGTACTGTGAGGAATCACCCATATGCATAAGATGAGGAGGGGATCCAGTATACTGACCATTGGCCAGGGGCTGCTAGGGGACTAAAGCCCCCTTGTCAGACCCCTGTGTAGTCGATTCGACACCGGGGCCCTTGGCCCGCCCCTCTTCCTCGCGCTGCGGGGCCCGAAGGCGGAGCGGATTTGGGTTGCGCTTCCAACGCCTCAACGCGCGACGTGAGTTGCTTGACATCCTTGTTGAGCTCGGTGGAGAAGCGGTCAACCTCAAGACGCCAGCGGTTGAAGGTCTCCATGAGCAGCAACATGGACTTCATCTGCGCCGCGAGCACATCGAGCTTCTCTTCTGCGGTGGCCATTCGGGATGTTAGGGTTGGTGGTTTGGGCTTGCGAGCCAGCGAGCGGTGGCGCTTGGCGGTGGCAGCGGTGGTGGCGGTGGTGAGGAGCTCGTCGGACCAACCGGAGAGGCAACCTTGATCGAGGCGAATCGATCCAGCGAGATCTCTGCAGGATTTTACGGATCCAAAGCGAGCGATGGAAGGGAGGTAGGAGAACGGCTCTGGTACCAGATGTGGCGGATCCTAGCGGAACCGGAGGGAATGCCGGCGAGCACGCACGGCGGTGAGCACGAGCGACGGCGCCGTCTCGAGCAGGGAGCACGGGAGGAGAGAGTTGGGGATAGTTTGTTTGTTATTTCTCACTATCCACCCAGCCACCCACACAGCGAGTTTAGTAGTCAAGATACATGGGCTCAAGCCCAGAGGCCACAAGCCAACGTAGGGCCCAACCGAGAGCTCTTACAGTTCAAAACACTCAACAATTAATCAGCCTAAACCAGGCACTGTAGAGGTCGTGACAGTTACCTTTGCCACACGGCAAATACGGAAAAGATGGTCAGCATTGCCTTGTTCATGTCAGGTCACTAGTGCAATTAGATTACACAAACTCTTTCCGCATCTTTTTAAGAGCTTGTGACTTGATGGTGACCGGCGTGCTATTATATTACCACTCTATATTAGCATATATACAAATAAGAGTTTATTCATCAGGTGGTCTTCAAAGTGCTATGGCCATATATATGGTGTATATAGAGCCTAGTGCCCTCTTTTATATGTCGTATACAGGACTACAGGAGTGTGCGAGATGTCAAACTAACGTCAATGATACAGATGTCTTCTGTCGTAATGAAGGAAGTCAAACTAACTTACACTTTGTAAAACTTTGGTGTAAATACATTGTAAATGTTCTATGAAATTGGACGACGTTATCGTGCAACCTTCTTCCTCGCCCGTGTCACTCCCACCCTCACCGAACTCCTGCGCTCCTCTTCCTCACGCACCCCTCCGCCGCCGCCCCCTCCCTCGAACTTCCACTACCGACGATCGATGGCTCCCACTGTCTCGCCGCGCCACCTACCTCCTGCCATCCCCCCCTCCCCTAATCATAGGGTAGCTGACGACTGCTTCATTGTGACGCTCCTACCGCTAGCCCCACCCACCATCGTCTCCCACTGCCCCAACGGACGGCGCCCTGGCCGCTTCACCCTGCCACCATCTTGACCGCCGTCGTGTGCCCGTGTCACAACCACCACTCTAAACCCCCTTCTACAACGAGTAGATCCCCTAACCCTAACACCGGCGGCAAGGTAATGGGCTCATAGACCCCGGGTGCGGGGACACAACGTTCACACTCTACGCAACTAGTCATGTAACAGAGTTTGCGTATGGAATTCATGTATGTGTAAGTTAAGTTCAAATCGTTCTGTCTATTTCATATCTCATTTGCATCACTGCATGCTCGTCCTGTCGTATGAGGGTATATGTAATCAACAGTGACAAAAAAAATTCCCTCGTTCATAAACAAGGGTAGTTTAGTCAAAAATATATATATTATTCTCTATGTTTCACAAAACAAATATTAATCCCAGTCCCAAAAAATATCAATAAAGTATTTAAAAGAATAATTGTCATAAAGTTTTCTTGTCATTTATGAACCGATGTAAGAAAAAAGCGTCCGTACTTCCTCCGTTCCAAAAAGAATGCTAAACCAAGTTTAAAATAAGTTTGACTAGATTTATAAAAATCAATATCAATATTAGTATCTCCAAATAGTTTTATTGTGAAATATGTTTCATTATACATCTAACGTTACTACTTACATATAAATATTAGTACTTGATCAAATTTGACACTAATAGACTCCTCAATAGGTGAGAATGACTTTCAGGTTTCAAGGACAAAGGGAGTGGTTACAATGTCCACATGCAAGTAAAGCCAAAGTCCAATGCAACAACACAGGCCTCCATCCCAATCTACTACATGAGCACTGACCTCCTCTCCAAGACCTTCATAGAAAAAATCACTTCCATCGTCCGTAGGTTTTGGTGGGCTGGTGTCCAAAATGAAACGTGCTCCTCGCCGATCCACTACCGTTCTTGGGACGATATCTGTCAATCCAAAGATAATGGTGGATTAGCAATCAGGGACCTTCATGCTGCCAAATAAAAGCCTAATTCTCAAAACGGCTTGGTACATCGCTACGGAGGAAGACCCCTATCTCACAGCCATCCTCAAATCCAAATACTTCCCCACAACTTCCTTCTGGACTGCCAGCAACAATCTCCCCAAATCCGTTTTTTGTCATCCCTCCTGCAAGTTAAACCTGACCTCCTTCAAAACTGCACTGTCCAAATCCACCGGGGAGACTCCAGCATATGGTCCAGCCCTTGGTGTCCAATCTGGCAAAATATTCATGATCGCATCAACCTCCCCATCCAGCAAAACCATCTCCCCAGTAACATTGCTGATCTCTGGAATCCTAGCACCAACTCTTGGAACAGCAACCTCATTAGCACAATCTTTGACCCTGCTGCTGTTAGCATCATCTCCCAAATCCAGCCTGTTCCTTCCCAAGACAGCGACATCATCAGATGGGCTCCTGCTCCTAAAGGTGAATGCACGGCTAAGGAGGCTTTCAAATACTTCACCTCCCAAAATTCTACCGATCTCCCTAACCAGGGCTCCAGAAGCATCTCTGACCAAGCCATGAGAATCCTTCTCAAGACTTGGAAGCACAGAAATATTTCTCCCAACATCGAAACCTTTGCCTGGAGAACCATTAGGAGAGCTCTCTCAACTGGTGATCGCGCCGGCAGATTCTCAACGAACATTTCAAAAAATTGCTCTCTATGTAATGACATCGAAACGGATGCTCACCTTTTCTTCCACTGCACGTTTGCAAGAGCGGTCTGGTTTTCAGTAAACTCACCCCTGTGTACTTCAGTATTACCCCTTGAACAGGACGGCCTACAGGAAATACTTTCAATTGTCATCGACGGCAACTGCAACGACGAAAGGCTTCAAAAAAATTTTACCACCATGTGGTACATCTGGAAAGCCAGAAACGACCTACGCTTTAACAACAAAAAATGGACCGTTTGGCAGGTACACAATTCCGTTGCAGCAGAAATAAATATATCCCAAAGTGATTTGCAGGTGACAGAAAATACTCCAGAAACCACCACCCAGACAAGGCAGGATGCCCAGCAAGCACACAGCCCTTTCCTAAGTCACAACCAAGGTACTCAAACTCTCATTGCAGGCACACAAGAAGAACAGGAACAACTCAATGACCAAGCTTCGGAGCTGCCGGGACCGCCTCTCTTCAGAGTGCAGCTACCAGCAAGGCTGCCAGGCATGAGGTGTTATACGGACGCATCGACTGCGCCTGACACTCCAATGCAGGTTTCAAGACATGCAGGTCTGGGAGTTTTCATCGTCGACAATCGCTCACAGCCGCCAACGACCAGATCTACATCAAAGCAAGAATGTGAAACGCTACATCGGTTATTATGGCAGAGGCTGCAGCTCTATTCAGACAGTCTCAGCACTGGGCACACTCAACCCATTCTTCCTGACGGATAGCCAACAACTAGTGACCTTCCTCAATGGAAACGATCACTCTACTCCACCACGTTGGGAGATCAAAAACTACACTCAAGCTTTTATCAACTACACCTCCAACAACAATTCAAGAATCTTCAAGGTGCCAAGAAAGCTCAATATCACGGCACATGTACTAGCTTCTCAGGCACTTAGCTCTCAGTTTAGATCAATGGATGGAATGCAGTTCACCTGCTCCAACCCATCGCATGTATCAGGCTGCCTCTCGTTTGCAGCTTTGAACTCTGTATCCTCTGATGGTTTCACCATCATTGCAGCTTCATGCTGCTAATATATTTGCCAATTATCAAAAAAAAAATGCAACAACACAAGTCGCTTCCGTTTCGGGAATAAAAAAACGGGGGCACCACAATGCATCAAAATTACTCAAAAATATAGCTAAATGCTGCAAAGTACAAATTTTCATATAGAAATGTTTAAAGAATACAAGAAACTTCATCCATGCCCTTAAGAATATATTACAATAATTTACATATACCAGCGAGTAGGTTAATTAGTAGTCATACACCACTGAATGTTACATCGGTTTCTTGCACTGAAACTTTTATTAAAAAAGTTTTAAGAATACAATAATTTATTTACAAAGGGCAGGTACATTAATTAGTAGGTGCACTCTATTGAAACGAACATTGGTATATTTACACTGCAAACTTGTATAGAAATATTTGTGAATAAATTACAAGAATTTTCTTTTACACCTGGGAGCATTAGTTGGTAAGGAACGAACTACGGGATGGGAATTTTACAATTTAAACCTCAGCAACAGTACATATGAGGTGCCCTGGAGTCGGTCAAAAACATCCGATGCTGGCAGAAAATGAGGTCGTGGTCAGTTCGTTCAAACAGTAGTCGGCACCCAGGCACATCCACCATCTACAAGAATCCCAAAGAAACACAACCAAGCACAAACAGCAAACAATGTCACCAAGTTGCTAATTACTAGTAAATTGAATATACTGCACTGCAAGTTACTATTGTAACAGCAATCCTATTGATAATAATGGTACAATAACATCACGCTGCAACATTACATTTCCTTTTACTATTGACACTAGTGACAAATGGCACCAGCACCAGTGATTCTACAATTCATTCAAAGCTAAATAGGAGGGAACCCAAGGTTTAAGAAAACATACTTTTTGGCCGGATCCTTAGAATATGTACTACAAAAATGCTTGTATTTAGCTTAGTCTACTATACCTCAGCTTCAGGCAATTAATACCAGACCAGTCTTTGGGTCAAAAACTGGTCAGAAACTGACTGGAACTTGCCAGACATGTTTTCATTTTCACCCACCATTCTGTATAACAAATCACTGGTGACCCCAAAATTACAAAATGATGAACCCAGAGTTTGGCATTCCAATTGCTAAGTCATCATGGTAGCCAACCCCATTCCAATCAGAGAATAAATAGGGGCAGTGCAATCATCTTGAATGATTTCTTGTCTTTGAGCAACGTAAAATATGCCACGTAATTTTGAAGAGGGAATAAATCTGCAGCCAATTCATTTGCAACCAGCCAACCAAATTGTGCATGCAGCAAGTCATATCCAAACTAATAGCAGCTACAAGTCAAAGGTAGTAGAGCGGAAAGCACCAAGTTCTTACTGAACGATACTATAATCTTGCTAAATAACCTTTCTACCTAGTTCTATAAAAAATCACAGTAGTATATCGAAGAAGTTACACATGTGAACATAACCCTACGAGTAGTTTGGACAAAATCCATGAGCATGTGAAGAATGTATACAACAAGTCTAACCCCAAGCAACTTGTGTTTGGGAGAAATATATTCCATGTGATGCCCAACCAGCTTGGTTTGTTTGATTGTTTTTTCCTTTTTCTTTTCTTTTTTTTGGGGGGGTGGGGGGTGGGGGGCATCTTCTGTGGACAGCGCTATCAGGCAAACTAACTAAGCGCTGGAAAGTGATCAAACATGACATTGGGACACGCTTGAACCAATTGGCGATCACATAAATTGAGTTCAACCAAGTCGCCGTAATGTCTCTCCTACCGCGAATGAACATATATATATACACAATCCATTAGTTTATACATAAATATATCTTATGTTTTTTTACAAGGGAAATATATCTTATGTTGTTTCCTATGAACAGAAGCATAGCAGTTATGATGGCCTCAATTATACAAACTGGAACCTTTAGTGTCCAAGTAATTGACAGGCCACAGATTGGCTTCAGCACTTTAGCCATAATCCATATATGAAAAACTTCTGTCAAAAAGTTCAAAGTGCATTGTAATAAAAGCTCAATACCTATCTTTCCTTACCAGCATTATCAAAGCATGGCATCCTACCAGCATTATCAAAGCATGACATCCTTACCATCGTTAGGGAAACATGCAAGTATGACAGGAGCCCTCTGCTGGAAATTTTCCTACACTTTCCAGTTTCTGCTTAGCAAACAAACAACAAAGACAAATGATTTAAAACAGACATCTAGAGAAAGGCCACCATCAGCAAAATATTATCACATGCGAACAAGCACATCAAACATAACTGAACAAGCCATCTGTCCAGCAGTAGTGAATTAGAAACTTAAGTATTTTACCACAACATTTAGTGCCTGTAGGGTTCAATGATGTCCTATTCTAAACATCAAACCTACGATAATAAAACCATCACTATCTCGAATAACTAGCTAGAAGTGAATAATACAACTCTGGTATCGGTATCAACAAGCTCTGCATACATGATGCACGTACCAGTATTGATACGAAAACCAAGTATCTTTCTTTTTCTTCTATATCAACCTATACATGTCTCAACTCAACCTCTTCATACTTTGTGTTTCTTTCCAGGCTTCCAAGCCTCCCTTTAACACTAATGGATCCCTCAGCACAAAATAGGCAACCGCTTTAATGAGATTATTTTTGTTGATTTGGATGGCTTTGTTGTTGTCATGCAATGACATGTCAACAACTCTAGACCATGTGTTTAATCAGGAATGCAGCACTTTTGTCCTCCCTTGTTTTGAATGGAAACATATCACGCAATCAGCATTCAATAATTTTAAAATATATGATTAAGCAATTTGGGCTTAGTGATGTAAAAAAACTATTATTTATACACCACGCCCTTAGATTTTTTGGATTTAAACTATGCAAAACTAGCATAATTTTCAGGCACTGAAAGTAGCTTTAACATGTTTCCATTAGCCCCTTACCAAAAGATTCCAACAAAAATTTACCATGTTATGGATGTCTGATGACACAATTACAAGTCTCATTGTAAAAGTTTCAGTGTGGTCTATTATTAGGTCGCCATTAGACAAAGCATGAGCCTAGTTGAAAGAAACAGGATTCATAAATCATCTTATACAGAAGAAGGGTACTAGCATGTTAAGCAATCCCAGAACAACTTCAGCAAAATACGTTAAGTAAACATAGCCATGTGAACTCTGCAGATTAGCATGTTAAGCAATCCCAGAACAACTTCAGCAAAATACGTTAAGTAAACATAGCCATGTGAACTCTGCAGATCAACATGGCAACAAAAGTTTGGGACTATTACAAGTTCCACTTCAAATACGCTGAACCGCATGAACAGGATGTCTGAAGAGATCTCAATTCGCGATTGCCTTTGAAACGTCCATAAGCACCAGTAGCAACCTGGAAAAATATTAGGAAGTGACCAATTGAACCATATAGGGGCAAAATGTCTTTACTTGTGGACCACAATCGAACAGCCAGAACTCACCTTCAAAACCACATCAAGCTGAATCAGGTAACACTAGCGCCTATTCCCACGAAAATGGCCCTTCCCAGAAACCTTTTTGTTGTTGAATGACTTGGGGCCTCCATAATTCCTGAGTACAGAGTATCTGAGTTTATAAACAGGGAGATGCTTCACTTCGGAAATTCAAAATCAAATTAGTTTATATCTCACAGTTTTTGCCTCTTTGCAACATCTTGCTTCATTTTCAGGACAATGTCCATTGCACATTGCTGATGTTCCCTTGTTTGTACATGCATATCCAGATTCTCTGCGCTCCCACAGTTAAACATGCATATTCGGCACCAACCAGAATTCCCATTTCTCAAGAATCCACCCTAGATGGAAGAACATTCAACAGTTTAGTAGCTAAACAATACATAATCAGCAACAATAATAGCATATATAGGAATTGCTAATGCATTGTAACAAAAAAGAATAAATTCAAGCAAAAAAGGCACTGATAACCCACCAAACCAAAGTGTGCTGCAGTTTTAGGAAATCCATGCTGAGAATAGTCAGCGACAAGATGAGGGTCACCTGGATGCATGTCACCTGCAAAGTGATGGCTAGAAAGTTCAGTTAAATGCAATAGTCAATACCATGGGGTTCTCCACACCCAGCATGTACGCTAGTGGAAGGAAAAGAATCACCAAGGTTGAAAGGAGCAGGAGGGAAGTCTGGACCCTCAAAAGAATGTCGTAAATTCCCAGGAAGGTTACCAGAGCCGAGCTGATTTTTATGGGGACCAACAGGACCACCACTTGTCCCTTGAGCAAATGGGCCTGAAAACATTCAAATTCAATGGAGGAACATCATTGGCAAATTCAAGGCAATGTTTTCAAGTTGTCCGATTAATCGCGATTAATCGTCCTAATCGGTCCCTGGTGACTGATTAGGGGTACCGTCGACTTGTACAAGTCGTCTGATTAATCACAATTAATCATGATTAATCGTCCTAGTCGGTCCCATGGCGACTAGGTTCGACTGGACGACTTGAAAACATTGATTCAAGGTTCAAAGAGTCATAAGCTTTCATTCATATATAACCAAAAGACCTGCTGCCACTGAAGTATTCTAATATTTTCAGTTATTAATTTATGCATATCGCTTCAAAATTTGTACCTGGGTTTCTGAAATTAGGCATTCCAATAGCCCTGTGATGATCAAATTCTGCTCCGTGTGACAGGAAGTCAGGGTGACTGGCAGTTGCATTTTGCTTTCTTGGAAAATCCTCATGCATACCTGCACTTCTATGGTTTGGAAATGGAGGCCTTCCAGGTACTGAATCAAGGAAACCATCAGGTCTACCTAAAGCTCTCTCAAAATGTCTAGGGTCCCTTTGCAAGCCCTGACCATCCAGAGGGGCTGGCGCCAGAAAATGTTTCCGATCGTCTTTGATATCATCATGTCTTCCAGGATATGCTGCACCCCCTGAAGTGTTGAACCCCTCACCACCAAAGTCATTGCTGTTCAACATTCCTGAATAAATGGAAGTTAGGTCAGCATACTTGCAACAACAAAAAAAAGGAAGTATTTGCCTATGATCCAGAGTATTACCAAGAGGATGTGGCTGGCCCAAACGTTCAAGATCAAAAGGAGGCAACACCGCACCATGATGTCCAGGTAATGGGCCAACCACACGAGGTCGAATCATACCATCACCAGGTCTGATACCCCCAGGCTGTGACATTGACATCTGAGTCTGGTTCTCTCCAAATGGCCTTGGTATCGTTCCGGAACGAAACAAACCATATGGTTGTTGCAACGGAGGACGGATATTTTCAGAAAAACCATGCTTATGACCAAGGTTCATCATATGCTGAGGAAGCATTTTATTTGGTCCAGATGGATGCTGTGGTACCACACCTGGGGGCACATAAGAGCCCAGTGCCCCTGCATTTTGCAGTGATGCCTGCTGAAATGATCGTCCTTTCTCGTGATTCGTAGATGCATCTGAAGCCTTATGGTCCCTGCCTCCCTGCACAACTGGACCATGGGAATTACCTGCCTGGTCAGTATTCCCATCCCTCCTAATTGAACCATCTAAACCATGTGATACAATGCCAGTTTGCACTGCATCTTTTTTAACACTAACAAAACCATTCTGTTCGCTGTTCATGTTTTCATCACCCGATTGCGACTTTGTAGATCTCAAGACAGCTGACTCAGCACCGCTATTTTTATTTTCACCGACAGCAGCATTAGTTGCATTTTCTGACTTCCCTGATTTTGAAGTATGTTTTTCAAGATCTAAAGAACCCTGCCCAATAGGGTGCCCAGCAGCAGGCGACTCAGTTCTAAGCACTGCTGGCTGTTGATGCTGAAATTGCTGTGTTGGTGCAAGATGAGACATAGATCTGCCAGCTGAAGTTTGAACGTGTTGTCCAGTATTACCAGTAACATGCTGTTGTGTATAAGGCTGACCAGGTTGGGAATGCACCTGTTGTGATGAGGACATTCCTTGCTGGTATGGTTGAACTGATTGTGAGGAAACAGATGAGTGCGCGGCCAATCCCTGTGGTGGTGCCTGGGAAGGGATGTTGGAATACATTGGTGGCCACTGAGCATGAAACCCAATATGTTTTTCATGTTGTGTTGTATGTTGGATTCCCTGAGGCTGCAAAGCTGGCTGTTGGCCTGGCAATGGAGGACGCATCGGTGCAGGATGGTGAGAAACATGTGCTTGTTGGTGGGACACATGTACAGGTTGCAAAAGAGCACCTTGTGGTGTTTGCTGCTGTGTATATGAAGCATTCTGGGGGTGCATATGTGTTTGTTGAGGATAGGCCTGAGGTTGTGGGTAAGCTTGCTGCTGGACATGTGGAGGCTGGAGCTGAACTTGAGAGTTTAGCTGCATCTGAGGTTGAATATTTTGCTGTGGAGGTAAAGCTTGCAGATGTGGATGTTGTTGCTGTGCAACAATATGTTGCTGCTGCGGAGGTTGAGCTTGTACATGTGGCTGCACTTGACGAGCCGTTGCTTGAGTAGCAAATTGCTGGTTACCAACTTGAGTAGGAGCAGATGGATGTGCTGCAGGTTGTACTTGGAGACCAGATGGTTGGAGAGGAACTTGACTTGGTTGGAGCTGTGGAACTTGGGCTGACTGAATTGGTTGGTGAAGCTGCGACTGACCTGCAGGTGCTTGAACATGGGAAAGATGAGGGTGACTTTGGGGTTGGGGTTGAACCGGATGCTGCTGAAGCTGTGGTTGACTTGTCAATGGATGGACCTGGGGCTGACTTTGGGCTTGCATCATCAGCTGGGAGGACTGCACTTGAGGCTGAACATAAGAAGCAGGTTGTGCAGATCCTGGCACCACATTTTGGGACGGTACTTGCATTGGAGGTTGCATGTATTGCTGATACACCTGCTGGTATTGGTCATACTGTTGATATTGCTGCATGTAAGGGTTGGATCCAGGGTGCTGCTGCTGGTAGTATTGCGAGTATTGGAGCTGCTGCTGCTGCTGGTACCACTGCTCAGCTGTTGGAGTTTGGGAAGCGGGAATAGATGCAGCTGAAGAAGGCACTGCTGCTGTGGTTGCACCAGCTGCCCCTCCTGTTGCTGTTGTAGAATCTGTTACAGCTGTGGCTGTAGTTGAAGATGGCTTTGGTAGGGTTGCAGCTGCAGGTGCAGCAGATCCAGCTGAGGCAAGTGATGGATCTTGGGTGACTGGCTGAGTTGTTGCCGCTGCTAGCTGCACCTGACTACCATCAGCTTGTTGGGTTTGAGATTGTAAGCCCTGCAAATAACAAAAAAGGTAAAAAGAAACCGTCACTTACAGCATAGTTCTGGACATCCATAAGAAGTTACTGAAGACATGATGGACATACATGGCAGAGTTGAGCATGTTCTTGCACTTGACGATGGACAATTTGTGTCCCACAACGATTGCAAACAACAGGAGAGTTCCCATATGCACAAGTAACACCATGTGTGATACAGGCAGATAGCTCTCCATGCCATTGGCAGCCACTCTTATTATACAGGCAATAGACCGCGACTTTGCCAATAGTCTCAGCAAGGGTTTTATTTGATTCCATAAGAGGCTGTAGATTGCAAATGTGATAGTAAGAGGAGCGCCATTACTTCACATACAAGAACTCATTGAATATGCATACCTTCGAATCAGCTTTTGTTACAAGGTATCCATCATAAGGACAAGCTTGTGTGGTTGCCACTACATACGCCAAGCAGGATTTGCAGTAGAGATGTGTGCATTGAGTTTGTAGGGCCTCATTGGGATATACGAGTGTCCGGCAAACAGGGCAGAAATATTCACCAGGAAGGGATTGAATACTCAAGATACATTCATTATCAAACCCCATTGCTGAAACTTGTTAAACTCTGCCCAGTGCCCCAGTCAAATATCAAGCCTGCACAAATAAATGCATAAGCTTACATGCTGCATATGTGCTATGTGCTGAAAAGGAAAAGAAAAAAAAAAGAATTCCAACAAAAAAAGTGCATGTCAACTATTCGGGAAACGGCAAAAACAGAAATACTTCATTATCAAAAACTTCTTGATAAGACAGCATCAGCAAGTTACCAACACGTGGCAGTCACTCTACAATAACAGAATAAACACACAGAAAGAAAAAAGATTGAACTAAAAATACTACATCTTACAAAGTATATTCATTTATTCAAACAGCTTGTACAATATAGTTCCAAATAAAAAACTCAGCAAAAATATTTCCTAGGTCCTAACCAAGTATTGCTTCCAACGTAAGAGACTCAGAGCAAAGAACATAAATAATGTCCTGCCGGTCACATTCCCCTATGGGACTGCTTCATTCACAACCGCAGATGTGTTGTGAAAAAAAAATGTGGCAAGAGGGTATTTTGGCAGATGAACATTGACAGCTGCGACATGTGGCAAGTGCTTTATCAGGTATCACCATGTGAGATAGTCTGCTTACATTTACAAATCATGAAACAAAAAAATTGTTTGTGTTCTACCACAATAGGAGATTGGCACATAGATATAGAACGCGTTCATCGGAGAGAGAAAAACAATTGATATGCACAACACAAAAAAGTGCTGGCAGCTAATAAATGCAGCAAAAGAACAACATCAGCAAACAGATATCAGTCAACCAATATTATGGAAGGCCAATGGCTAGCTGCTAGCCCACCTACCTCCTGCGTACCTGCCACGTAACCTGTTTAGTTGCTATCAGGCGCTAAGAACCACTCCACCCCTGCCTAGCACTTTACAGTGAATAAATTGACATCTCCCCGAACCAAAGAATCAGCCCCTGCCAAGTTCAAGGTCTGCTCGTGAAATTTAGGCAAACAAAGCAAGCAGCCAAGCACAGTTGAGTCGAGGTTGAGGATGAACCCCTGGCTGGTGCTGCTTGAGAACCTGGAGCCGGAGCTACTTGAGAACCACCTGCGGCCACTGCAGCTTGACTGCTTGAGTGCAGGCACAAGGAAGTGAGCTCCTTCCTCACGCCCATCCTCAAGCAGTCAATCTGCAGCAGCGGCGGGTGGTCCTTCATGCTCCAGGTGCCGGCTAAAGGACCAGGCGGAGGGGGAGGAGGGTGACTGGGCAACTATTCATCTGAGTGGCTTAATCGGACAACTAATCATGATCAGTCGTCCATTAGTCAGGACAACAAGGTTTCTAGTCGAGGCAATCAGATCAAGGGTCTAATCAAGGTCCAAGTTACAATAAGGACGACTAATCGCAATTAGTCATCTGATTAATAACATTGAGCACATGTATGCAAAAGAAATGCTTCAGTAAGAAGAAATGAGGGTGCCTAATAGCTTAAAAGTGAATTTACATGTGTTTATAGAAGGGTTCTCATGTATGCATATGACAACATTAAGGATTAAAATGACAAGCTAGGCAAGCAAAAGACTGACCAATGCTTGCTGTTTAAGTGCTTCTGTGGACAAATTCAGTGTTTCAGATCGCAGAAATTAAAGGGTGGGCACAGAAAATAGGCTAATGCAAGTTCACTTGTAACACGGAGCTCATGATATCCCTCATACAGGGAGTGTTCTAACATTTTAAGACTAATAACAGCAGTAGGCCAGAAGAACAAGAGGGCAAAGCAAGGATCATAGCACACTTCAAATTAAGGCATCATCAAGAGATTAATAACAGCAACAGGCCCACAACCCAGAATTTTTAGCGTACACATCACTGCAACTAACTAAATTCGCGTACTACCCACTCAAACATTATTGTGACAGATTAGTTAATGAATTACAACTAGTAGCTAATAATTTGGTCCAGTTAAGGACAGCGCATGTCTGAATATTTTTAGCTTATATCATTAATAAGCACTAGATAGCTGTCAAGTGTGACTTGGATTATTTCGTAATGGCTTAACAACCAGCAAAAGAATGATTCTTCTCTTGAAAGGGAAAGCACTATGGACCTATTTTGACCATAGTCACAGGGTTCGGGGACGAAGCCGCGAACCGCGTACCAGGTACGCTGACCCAAAGCGAGGTACGGGTACGAGATGGGTCGACGTCCCATTTATGGATGGGTCGCGCCCCATTGCAGCAGGGTTCAAGAAGGGACGAGTCCCAATCCTAGACGGCGAGATGCAGATGAACAAAGGCTTATGGATGGGGCTTGAGGTTGTCGCCACTCGCCGGCATCGCCGCTGGCCCGGCCGCGACATCACTGGCATCTCCGTCGATGGTAAGATTCAGGACAGAGGCAGCACCGAATCAGAGGCGCCCCGCGCTCTATGGCGCCGTGCCGCCGTCCATTCTTGTGCTGGTGACTGGTCGCTCGCTCGCCGGCGGCTAGACAGCCGCCGCACCTCATTCCCGTGAATGGTGGACAGGGGATCCCGTCGACTGAGCATGTGCTTCTCTAATTTCTATTTGTTTTCTAATGAGACTGTACAGGTTATGCACTTCCTTTTAGTTTTTGGAGGAGAAAATTAGTGTCGCATGTGGTGGGACATTTCCCTATTTCCCTCCGTGAAAAAAAAATCCTGTGATTTGTTTCCTAATGTATAGTCTTAAAAAAGGAAAAGAGAATCGGTTCAAAAAAATTCTATATGATTTGTTTCCTAATGTAGACTGTAATCAACAAGTCAAATGCAAAACCGAGAGATTGAAAACAGATCCTCATGTCCCAAATCAACAAGTCAATCACTGCAATACATACAAGACTCCATGCTTCGTACCGGGGTCATCGACCCATAGGCTTTGGGTTCATGTACTAAATATTTGGTTCTCGTACCGCATAAGTATACCCTCTTCGTACCACATTTTTTGTCGAGTGTCGACCCACGTCCCTCGACCTGGTCGACCCAGAATTCTTGTGACTATGATTTTGACAAGCTAGCTACAAACTGTCGCTAGATGGAACCAGCAACAAAGGTGTACACTCTGTGGTTCTCGTAATCAGTGGCAGAGCTTCTCCCAGGCCAATAGGGTCATGGCCACCCCTGAACTTTTGTGAATTCCATTAGTTTCAGCCATTTGGCTTGATAACAATAACAGAGTAGTACTGTTCTTTAATGATTGGCCCCTGCTGGGTTTAAGGTCCAAGCTCCACCACTGCTTGTAATGATATACATCTATAAAATACATAGTAAAAGTATGCTTCTGTACAACTATTTTCTACACAATGCTACTCTTAATCATTTTCACACATCTTTTTTTTTTTTTGCGAACATCATTTTCACACATCTAAAGAGGTGCCTAACAGGCGTCATCATGTAAGCAGGGCATCATCTATCCCATTCTAAAAAGCTTCAATAATGGATAGATAGGATAAGTACCTCCTAAGTATCATTCAGACTAAATCGAATTCTAAAGGCCACACATCTAAATGATGGAATTTTAGACTAAATAGAATTCACACGACGCATAGATAGGATAAGTATCTCCTTCTCCTCTGTATCATTCAGATATTAAATAATTCAATAATGGATTTGCACACATGGGTTTTTCGAATTCTAAAGGTCACACATCTAAAAACTGGAATTTTAGACTAAATAGAATTCACATGACGCATAGATAGGACAAGTATCTCCTCTGTATCATTCAGATATTCAATAATGGATTTGCACACATGGTTTTTTTTCCAAAAAGTTTGTGATGTGACCATGGAAATAACAGGATTTTGCGTGCTATATAGAAACTTCCCATCCAAGCACGGGCGGACCCAGTAAAGGACATGGGTGTACACATGTACACCCAATAATTTTTTGCAAAGCAATCGAAGTTAGTAGGCATATACATACACCTGTAATTAGATTCAGATCCGATTACGAATAGTATGTTAGGGTTTGGGCGCACGGCTTCGCACAGCATGGAGGAGCAAGGCGAGGGAATACCTGGAGTCCTGGTGGTGCTCGTCGCCGGCCAAGGTGGCGAGTGGCGAAGCAGGACAACAACGACGGTCGCGGGGGCGAGTGGCGAGTGGCTGCAGAGGGCGGACGCCGCGCCAGAACTGGTCGCGAGAACGCTGAGCCCCAGGTGGTGCTCGACCTAGCGTAGTCTCCTCTCCGGATTGCGGCGCGGCGAGCGGATGGAGGAGATCGGCCGCGGGCGAGACGAGTTCAGGTGGCGGGCCAAACGTCGAGCAAGGTTAGAAAAAGCGGCGGTATACGGTGACCTCGCCTAGAGCTTAGGTGAGCACATAGCCTTTGTGTGTCATATACATCTACGTAATTCTTCCTAACCTAACTCACCACTCCATCTAATCTCGTGCCTGTTTCTACCTCCTCTCATCCGCGCTCCTCACCCGCCAGCGCTGTCTCTATCTCCTCCGGGCCGCACCAATCACCTATGCAACCTTGTGCCCATCGCCTCTGCCCCGCCCTCCTCCCAAACTCCGCCCGCTACCTCTAGTTGTGCCCGCAGTGGGCCTTCCCCTTGGACATGCTTGCCGCTAGCCTCCTCCTAGCATGCTCGCCACCTCCACCGTCACTGGTCGTCCCTCCCTCAAGCAGTGCAACCCTAGATCTAGGGCACGCCGTCCATCTATCCCCTTGGGCGAGGCGATGCCCCTTCGCCTAGCGCATAAGCGTGCCTAGGCGAGCGTCTTGTAGAACATTGGGGCGAGCTTAGCCGCAAGGGGAGAGGAAGAGGTCACCGTCCTCTGCAGATGGATCGAGAGTAGAAGAACCGACCAAGAAGAGAGAAGAAAGAAAATAGAAAGATCATAGACTTACGAATGAATCCACGTGTCTCCCATGTTTTTGTTAACAAAACTTGAGGAGCATCATGTGTATCCAAAGAAATGATGTTCTAATAAAAAAGTGTACGAGATAAAGAAAGAGCCAAAATTGTCACTAGGGTAGGGGCCACGATGGCAAAGCATAAAAGTTTTAAAGATATT